ATACAGAACCAGTCTACCCTTGGACACTGTTGCACTTTTCAAAGTTTTTGTTGTTATTGCTGGTTTTGTGGTTGATTCTCAAACTTATTCTTGCACTGAACTCATGCACTCATCAACAAATATTTAATTAGGTATCTATTATGTGCTGGGAGTTGATGATACAAAATAAAGTGGATTTAGGTACCTCATAAAGCTAATTGTTTAATAGCAGAGGCAAATGTGTAAATAAGTGTCTGAGAAAGATGCTGATTAGAAATACTTAAAATTTGTTAGTCTCTTTAAGTCATAAATGTAGGGGCTTCAACAATGAAAATGTTGCAGTGTTGTGGTGAGAAATGTGTCTTTCCTGTCAACAACTTTAGAAATATATATATTTTTTTCTTTTAGGCCAAATAAAGATATAGGTCATTTGAGTTATTCTTTCTATTTAAGCTTCAACATTATTTAACTTATTTTTTAATTTGTCTCTTTCTTGGTCTGCTATTCTTAAGTTTACAGTTGAGACTTTTTTGATTCACTACATTGTAATTTTGAGTAATTATATTGGACAATTACTATGTATATGGATAGCACACACTGGAGAAGCAACAATTATTCACAAATAAAACAATATATATATATGCATATATATACACACATACATAATATTCCATAGCACATTACATTTATTATATCATATTGTAGTTAATTTATCATTTTATATATGTATTTACACCCTGCCTTATTACTCATCTTCTCATTTAAACAAATAACATGCACATGTACATATATATATAAATTAGCTTGTTCACATTTATCATTTTCTTGCATAGATCATGTTTATGCACTTTTGTATATTCAATGTATATTTGATATTTTCCTATAACTATAAACTTGCCAATATCTAACATCTAGCCACCTAGAGCCTACACTTCTAGAGCTCATGAGCTGACTTAGAATTATCAAAATATTACAAAGAAGTTTTAAATGTGTTTCATGACTTGCAATCTGTCTTATCCAACATTATTCCTATGGTAAATCGAATTTATTCAATTTCCTTTATATATGTGTTGCCTTGCTTTAAGATGCAAAATATACTTTAAGAGATGCTATTAAACTCTACTACACTGTTGTTATCTTAACAGGTGTTAAACTGTCCGCCAAGACCTTTTACATATTGGTGAGCATACTGTAAAAGCATATACAAAATCAAAGACCATATGACAATATGTACTTACAGAACAGCAAGATCCCATGTCAATATGATATTTGCCATGGAAAGAGAAACTTTTCAGCACATTATTTACAGTCACAGAAATATACAGCTAAGTTAAGAGAGGCAACATACATCCTGGTGCTTAAAAGGAAATGAAACAAAATCACAATATGTATGTTTCCTTTAGAGATTATATACCATGGGAACTTAACCAAAATTTTTACCATCATAAGTGACTTCCTACATGTCTTTTGTTGTTAGTGTTAAATGACTTTTTAGCATGAAGAAAATTATTACACTTCAATTTTTACACAGTGATGCCAGAAATAGGAGGAGGAGGAGGAGGAGGAAGAGAAGGAGGGGGAGAAGGAAGATGAGGAGAAGAGTAGTCAATGACGGATGAAAGAAACTGACTTTTTAAGCTAAACTTTAAAAATCAACTTCTTTCATTCATCGTTGATGTACATGATTCCTATTTTGCATTTGGCTACATTTTTAAAAAGCTCAAGTCTCTATTGTTCAAAAACAGGATTCATGCCCTCTTTTCAAGGCATGTTTAAATTTTGAATTCAGCTAATTCACTCCATTATGGTTCACACTTTCCCTTGGCAATACCATCTGCCATGTTTTAGCTTCAAACAGAATATTAAAGTACTGTACTGTATTCCTATAATATAAATTTTGACACTTAAATGTCTATGTAATATTACCTGGAAATCAATGTTTGAATAATTTTACAAGACTCTTCATTTTTAAGCCTTTTATTGTCTCTCTAAATTCAAGACAATAAACACATGAAAAAGTATAAGGAGACATGTATCTATAATAATTCCAGGCAGTAATAAATATTTCCTGGAAATAAGAAGCTTAACATTTAAATGAATGTATCTGCTCTTAACTATGATAATGGCAAAAAAATTATCCATGTGATATAATTAATATTTTTTAAATGCTTTCGAGAAGAAATAAAGGTGTACAGAAAAATAATATTTAAATATTTCTACATATGTCAAAGATTTCTTGTATTGTGGACCCAAATATAATTTTGCTTTTGAGGACTCAAAATTAAGAAATTAAAAATATTTACTGAGATCCTCCTGCTGAGTCAGTGCTAAGCTTATAGTTGCAATGGAGGGAAATAAAAAGCTGACAAATATCTGGAGCAAAGAAATGAGAAGACTTGTGACAGATGGAAATAGGTGATGAAAAAATACTGGAAAATCTAAAGTTTCAACCTCTTTTGTGGTAACAGAAAAAGAGATCCCATATTTAAGAAAGGAAGGCAGCATATGAGAGGTAGGAGGACATGTTAAGTTTTAGTGACAGACATTCAAATAAATAACCCTAAAGGATATCAGAAATATAAATAAAGGGATAAAGATGATATTTTATAACTATTTTACATGTATTTATTTATATTTTTTAATTCACTATATTTGCATGATTTACATAAAATCGTAAGATTAAATGAGTTTAAAAAATAAATATAAAAGAGAGAATGGCATACAAAGCCTTAAATGAGAAGAAAGAGAATCAAATATAATGCTCACAGAAGCTATAAAAGGGGCCTCAGATAAAGCCAGAAAATGCAGGGTCAGAGAAGGCTAAAGAAAAAAATGAATTCTTGAATGGACTATCAATGAAGAAAACTGTCCCAGAGAAGGCAAATGGTATAAAACCTGCAAAAAATATAAAATATTAATCTCTGGATTTGACTGCAAATAAATCTAGAAATTCCTGTATACTAACAAGCTGAAACTGATTTTAGGAGTTCAATGATGAGACAATAGATATATATCATTATTCTGAGAAGTTGAGAAGAAAACATGTGGAAAGTAATGACATTAGTAATGTGTTTTCTAACGAGAAGGACCTGAAAGCAAAAGGGAAAGGCTTCATTGAAAGGAACAAGTTAAGGATGATGAAATAGAAGAGAATGGTTTTTGCATGAAATGTCTGAGGAGACATTTGTATGCAGAATAAAAGTAGAGAAGTCATTTTAAGGAAGAAAGAAACCTTTCTCCAAGGCTATACTCACTTCAACATTTACAGCATGTTCCATTTTCCTTTACCGCGTTATCACCTATCACAATTACACACCATTTATTTATTGCTTTACCACTGGCTGGCAGCTTTTTCATCTTCTCCCTCCACTGCTGACATTCTATGGAACTTTATAACGTATGAACACCCCAGCTCATAGTACATCATTTTTATTGCTCCAGGGACCTACCTAGAATCACCCTCTCTTAATTAATAGAGCTGTGTTGACCACTCATGCCAGCTGTACCTTATCTCTCTACTCTTAACCTGATCTACTCTTGATTTCCCACTACAGTTATTGATCGACTTACGACCTATGCAACTTAACGACTATTCGACTTTACGACCACAATCGCTAGCCACGACTGCTCTGCGTCTGGCAGCGCAAACGTTGCCCAGCTGGGCTTACGACAGTGCGGACCAGCTTCCGGCAGCACTACCATCTCTGCGTGCACCATTTCAACTGTTATCCCAGACTTGGTACAGCAATTTGTGTTTTGTGCCTTGGATATTTTTCATCAAACCCCTCCCAATAAACTTCTTATACATTTCGAAGCAATGGACCCAAACATCGAACGATCTGCAAGGATTGAACAGATGGCGCACGATGTGTTTCGTCCGTATCGTGAAATTTATGAAGAAAAAAAGAAACATACAAATCAGACAAAGCTCACCATGTTTCTGAAAAAACCAACACTGGTAACCCCAACTGTTGCCTCAGATGACAACATCAATGATCCGCAGCCAAGCACCAGCGGCCAGTAAAATGTTTTGTACGTTTATATATTGTGATATGTTTTGCAATTGGGAAAATGTTTCCTATGGTATTTTTTACACCTGTATTTTGTAATTTTGTATGTTTTTTTCCCATTTATTTATTTTATTGCATTTTAGGCAATATTAAACCCGTTGTACTGGTAATGCAGTGTTTTACTTAAACCTGATGAATGTAAAAATAAGAAACAAAATGGTGTAGAGATGATACAAATGGCATAAAATGAACAAAGAAAATTATGATATATAACAGTAATGAAAGAAAATTATGATAAAATATGACTTAAAGATTTTTATAACATCATTTCCCAGTACTGTACATATAGCCTACTCAACTTATGACCAAATCGTGTTACGACCGGTCTGTCAGAACCAATCATGGTGGTAAGTCGAGCACTAGCTTTATGTATATATTTCTCAAATAAGATTGGAGCATTTTAAAGATAAAATTAAGCTATGATCATTAGATACAAAAGATCATTCTAAGACCAAAGGTCTTTGGACTAATAGAACTAGAAACTGCAAAACAAGGAACAGGATGACAAATCTCTTAGGTACCAGTTCTCTTACAGAGAAGGAGAGGCCTCACATTCTCTCTAGTGCTTTCTCTAAAGCGGTCTAAAGTAAACATTGCTTAGTTCAAATTCTACATTAATTCCAGCTCAGTCAAGCACTGCTTTTTACTACAATTTTTGCCTATTCAAGTTGAAGGTAGCTTCTACCAGATTTGGTTAAAGTTTTGATAATAAAGTGCAGTGACTAAAATTACTAAAAAAATAGAATCTCTCATAAGGCAGAAAATGATATTTTAAATATTTCAAATATATTAAAATCTTACATACGTGAGACTAAACGGTATATCATTTTCTAACAACTAGTTAATACTTTTTCTAGTATCTAATTGATTTTGGTTGTCTAAAATCTGCATGGTATGTAACGATGAATGAAGTAAATGAACCAGAGGCAAAAGTTTTTTATGAACTCATACCTTGACATGACATGTAGTTCTTTTGGAGATAATATCCCACTGTACACTTACAAGTCCTTGTAGTTTCAGATGTTGGTAAACAAAGTTGAGAGCATCCACCATTATGTATTTGGTTGGCAGGAATTGCTACCTGCATAAAATTAAAACAAAACAAATTTCTTTGATACAATTATGAAAATAAAGTTTTATTTAATATTAATAATTTGGCAAATATGTATGCTATTGATTTCTAAATGCAGCTGTTTCATATTGGTTAGGATTGCATTTTATTCTCTTGAATAATTTAAAGTGATAAATTATGGCTGAATTTTGCCCTTTCAAAAAAGTCAGCAGAGATACACAAGAAAATTAATTGTTACAACAAAGCAAAAGGAAACTGGTTTGTCATAAACATTGTCATAGACCTTTGTAATATTTTGAGATCAGAGAAACCAAAATCTTTTGTTCTTTTGATTTTTAACGTTAACTTCAACTCTACAATTATTTCCTTTGCAAGACTATTTTATCCAAATGTGTCACATAAATAGCTGTTAAATTATTACTAACCACTAAAACATTATGCCTCTAAAAGAGGGTATCTGTGTATATATGTATTCAATTAATTTTTTAAAGCAAGGAAATAAATTTTCCCATTCATAGGAACATAATTCTCCAAAAATATATGAAAAACACAGCCATGAGAGTCATCTTATTAATTGGCATGTTAATTCCTCTTATTTCTGTATAGTAACAATGACAAATATTAGGTAATCACAGGTAGACATTCTAGAATCCCTACTAAAAATGTCTCATTGAATTTACTAGGCCCAATGTGTTAATTAATGCTGGTAGTGTGAAGTTAAGTAATTTACAATCTTACTCGGAAAGTTCATTAAATATCTCATTTTTACAACATTTTTATTATTCTAGAGCATGCAATGCCATGTTCAAGCACTGATATGAAGTGCAATAAATCCAGTGAGAATGACAAAGCATGATGAAAGCTCTATATGAAAGTTCTCTGTGAAAATTTCAAAATACCAAAGCAGCTCATTACTTCTCGTTTTCTGAATTCAAAATAGTCTGACAGGATTTAATAGTTCAATCGAACCTGCCATGAGTTCTGTCATTTTTCAAGTGTGAAATACTACCAACTTGGATGATTTCTCATCAGGAGATCTACCATATTCTCTGCTTATGTCCTGTAGCCACCAGTTCGGCCATTGCTGAAGTCCATTTTATGCATGGCCACATAACAGCCCTGAACTTTTTAAATGATTATGTTTATCTTATATAAACTAATAAAAATTAACTGATTCATTCCCATGTTTTTTCCAAGCTGACATACACATTAAAATGAAATTTCATTTCTGTCATTTTCAGATAATGAAATAATTATATTTGTAGATTTATAATAATAATTTTTTTTTTAATTTAGACGGAGTCTCATTCTGTCACCCAGGCTGGAGTGCAGCGGCACAATCTCAGCTCACTGCAACCTCCACCTCCTGGGTTCAAGAGAATCTCCTGCCTCAGCCTCCCAGGTAGCTGGGATTTCAGGTGCATGCCCCCATGCCCAGCTAACATTTGTATTTTTTAGTAGAGATGGGGTTTCACCATGTTGGCCAGGCTGCTCTCGAACTCCTGACTTCCAGTGATCTGCCTGCCTCAGCCTCCCAAAGTGCTGGGATTACAAGCGTGAGTCACCACACTCAGCTTAAATTTTTAATAATTCTATACTGGCAATATACATATTTCAGTTTGTAGAAAGCATGGATATATTAATGTAATGCCAATCTTTTAGAGAGACGTATTTAGATGCAGATGTATTTCAACTACCAAGGCTGAAAGGCTTGAGAGAGACGGGCAGATGATACTTAACTATAAAGCATGAAGGAACAACACTTTGAGAAAAAGAGGAATAAGGGAATTGAAGAGGCTAGGTGCAGTGGCTCACGCCTGTAATCGCAGCACTTTGGGAGGTCAAGGCAGGCAGATCTGAGGCCAGGAGTTCTGAGTCCAGCCTGTCATGAAACCCCGTCTCTGTACTACAGACAGAATACTCATTCTGAAAGGCACATTGATCTATCCCATTCAACTCCAACAATTTCATATGTCTTTTTGGGCAATCGTTATTTAATCCTGCTTTACCCATCTCTCAATCTCATTCCTTTATCTTTATTCCGCTTTCTGAAACTCTACTTGGATTCTCTTAGAATCGGGGTTTTACCACCCACAGACTTGTAGGTTTTACTTTCCTGAATGTCTCATGTCAAAATCTTTGTATGAATCATATACTCCGCCTACTCTGCTTCAAATATTCCTTCTTCCTTTTCTCAACCACCCCTAACAAATGACCACATATCTTCTTTCTTTTAGTCTTAAATATAAGGCTTAAATATATATAAGCATACTTTTGTTGTGCTTCCCTTTATTCACAGCTATCCAAAGCTTCACAGATACTGCTTTTCAAAGAATGAATTGAAGGTTTGTGGCAACCCTCCATTGAGCAAGTCCACTGGCACCACTCTTCTAACGGCACATGCTCACTTTGTGTCTGTGTCACATTCTGGTAACTCTTGCGGTGTTACAAACTTTATTATTATGATATCTGCTATGGTGATCTGTCATCAGTGATCTTTGAGGTTACTATTATATTTATTTTGGTGCACCACAAAACATGGCCATATAAGACAGCAAATTTAATAAATATTGTGTGTACTCTGACTGCTCCACTGACCAGCCTTTCCCCTTCTCTCTCCCTCTCTTCCGGCTTCGCTATTTCCTACAACACGATAATAATCAAATTATACCGGTTAATAACCCCACAATGGCTTCTATGTACTCAAGTGAAAGGAAGAATTGCATGTCTCTCACTTGAAATCAAAGGCTAGAAAGCGAGTGAGGAAGGCATGTAAAAGGCCAAGACAGGCAGAGAGAGGCTGAAAGCTAAGCTTCCTGTCCAGTTAGCTAAGTTGTGAATGCAAAGGAAAAGTTGTTGCAGAAAATTAAAAGCGCTACTCCACTCCTGCTCCAAGGGCTCCAGGGGCCGGCGGACGGCGGTGGCGCGGCGGGCACCTCCTCGGCGTCGGGGCTCCGCAGACGCCGGCCGGAGCGCGACAGGGGCTTCAGGGGCAGGGAGCGGCCCGGGCCCTGGCCGGACTCCTCCACCGAGAGCCGCCTCGGCAGCAGAGGGCAGCGCCGCGGGCTCGGCTCCTCCGACAGCTGCGGCGCAGGCAGCTCCTCCTCCCCGTTGAGGAGCGTGGCGGGGCACCGGACGCAGCTCACCGGCAGCTTGCGGGGCTTCTGCGGCGCCGGCCCTTTCGCTGTCCCGGCCCGGGCTCCGGGTCTGGCGGATCAGCGCAGGGCGCCAACGCCTCCGACGGAGACCTAGGCGGTGGGGCCGCGTCTGCGGAGGGTCCCTCGGGGGCCTGGGCTAGCACCAGGGCTGGAAGCCGGGGGTCGGCCGACCGCTCCCGGGAGGGCTGAGCGGGCTCGGAGGCCGGCGCCCCGGGGGTGTCCTGTGTCTCTGTTGGCGGACCTGGGTCCCCTGGCGGCTCCAACGGCCGCGGCGCGGAGACCAATGGCGGCGATCCTGGGGCAGAGACGTCCTCCGGCAAGACGACAGGGGACTTCGACGGCTAGGCCCCTGCCCCGGGGGCGCTGGAGGGCGGGGGCTCGGGCTCCGGGGGCCGCGGGTTCTTCCTCAGCCCCACGAACTTGACGCCGTAGAGCTCCTTCACCACCGCCACGTCGTTGACGAGCTGCTTGGAGCGGTCCCTACGGGCGGCGCGGTCCCGCGGGTCGCCGGCATCCAGCAGCGACTTGAAGCGGCTCAGCAGCTCGGAGCCGCGCACCTTCCCGCCGCGCTCCTGCAGGAAGCCCCGCACCGCCCCCTGGCTCACCCCGGCAGCCGCAGTGGCGGACGCGGATGCCAGCGCCATGAGGGGGCCCTGGGTTCCTGGCTGCCGGGGCGGGTGGGCGCCGTGTTGCCGCGGGACGCGCGGGAGCGGGGGTTCCGCGAGGCGGGGCCGCACTCACCTGTACCTGCACTGCGGTGGGCCGGGCGTGTCCCCGAAGCTGGACTTCGGTCACACCGGTGCCTCTGGGCCTGGGCGTCGCGCGGGTGCCGTGGGGAACGCCCACCCCCAGCGCCCCGCCGGGCCGGCCTTCTGAGCAGGTTTCAGCCTTTGTGTTCTGTCCAATGGGCGCCGGGCTCCATTCCCCGCGCGGCGCTCGCCTTACAGGTCCCTTGAAGTTTTGTGTAAAGTTAAACACCAATGAAGACAGATCTTCTGGATGTTTTTTTTTTTTTTTTAAGACTGAGTGTCTGTGACCCAGGCTGAGGTGCCGTGGCAAGATCTTAGCTCACTGTTGCCTCGAACTCCTGACCTCAAGCAATCATCCTGCCCGGGCGTCTCACACTACTGGGATTATAGTCTTGAGCCAGTAAGCTCAGCCTGGAAAACATTTTTTAAAAGTAGGATTTGGTGTGGCACAGAACCCAAGGTATTTCAAGAATGGTTTGTGTTTCTCATACTTCTGTTAACTGTTTAATGGTAGGTATGCTGATTATGCAGAACACCTCAGACATAATTAGATGTAATTAAAGCAAAACAGCATGAAGTCCCTTATGAGAAATTCAAATCTGTGAGAAACCTGTGATTCCCATACAACATACAAAAGAACTTCCTCATATAAGATGTTAGAGTAGGCTGTGCACAGTGGCTCACGCCTATAATCCCAGCCTGGGCAAAAAGTGAGACTCTACCAAAAAAAAAAAAAAAGGAAGAAGCAAAAAACAACAGATCAACCAAGTGGAGACAGAGAACTAAACAAACAATTATAAGAAAAGAAAACAAAATAGGTTGGGGTTCCTATGGGAGTTTAATAGGACTGCTGATCTTACAGGAGGCGATGCTCAGGCTGTAATGTTCACTCACCTCCAGCTGTGTAGCCCAGTTCCTCACAGGCCACCATCAGGTCCCCATCTGTGGCCAGGAGTTGGGGACCCCTGTGCTAAGGAATCTTGTCAGGCTCTTTCTGAAGTTGTTATAATACTGTTTTTCCCCTAAGAGGCTTATTTCCAGAGTTATCCTCAACTGTGTTTTCTGGATTCTCACTCTCTCAGGCAGCTCCAACTGTGCAGCCTCCTGCAGCAGCAGCCTCCAAGGAGAACCTTACTGGCTCCTCCCTGCTACTTCTAGAGGTGGGAGCTCTGGAGTCGTGGTAGAAGGGATGGGGCTGTGAGCAGTGGCACAGCTCCTGTTGTAGCCGGCTCACCCCGGGGGAACCTATCAGAACTTTGCTTTTGGAGGATATGGGCATTTAGTTTAAGCCCCTGGGGTGAATCTGATATGCTGTCAGTCCCTGTGCGGGTTATACGAAATACATTTGGTCTTTGTTTCTTTTCCTTTTGTGGAGCCCCTAAAAACCCTTGAAATGTCCCCAATTGCATTTTTTGGTTTATTTTTATTTTTTTTTATTTTTGGACAGTGAATCAAGTGTATTTGTGTTCACAGAACATACCAGGAGATCTGGACAGCCTCCAGGTGATAGCCCACCAACCCCTAAGCTGGCAGCTGCTCCCTAAGGGCCAATTCCAAAAGATCATTCCTGAGGCCGGCAGAAGCCTCACACAGTGGACAGAGTTGAGATGCTGGAGGACAGAGTGCCATCCCTAAACCTATAGCCGTCTGTTCACAGTGGAGGGTGCTCAGGTTCTTGGTGTCTTGAACAAAGAATTGGACAAAACACACAAACAAAGCCAGGAAGGAATGAAGGGTTTTATTTAAAATGAAAGTTACCTCCCCAGTGTGGGAGCGGGCCTGAACATAGGGGCTCAAAGGCCCTGTTACAGAATTTGAAGGAGTTTAAATAGCCCCTAGAAGATTCCACTGGTTACATGGGGTACACTGTATGAAAATGGAGAGGATGAAGTAAGTTACAAAGTCACTTACAGTGTACACCCTGTGGAGAGGATATTTCCTGTTACAGTTGAAGTGTGAATTGGCCTCATGTTCCCTGCCTGCAGACTCTATTTTCCCACCTCACCACGACTAGACTTGATTCCAGCCAGGAAGGCCTCCCTAACTGGAGTCCACCCCGCTTCTTCTCCTACCCTGCTGTAGTTCCAAGTGTCCTCCCTCCACCACTCTCACAAAGCTCCATCAATAGCAGAGATCTGCATTCACAGCAGCGGGACCATCCCACACCCTTGCATGAGTTAAAACAAATATTACATACACTCCTCCATCACCTAGGAGGACATATGGAATACAAGTAAATGTTAATTAGGAGCAGTGAGAAATAAATTAATGACGCTCTCCGGGT